CGACTGCCCCCCGTGGACTTACAACGCTAGAAACCGGGTTTCGATACCCGTGGTGGACAGAGCATAGATAGCCCATTGTGTAGCTTTGTGCTTAACTTCGAACAAACAAACAAACCTACCACGACTATCGAAACAGTTTTAGTGGTATGTGTCCTCAGACTTACCGCTGAACCTCTCAGGACAGTAGGAAGTTATAAAACCAGTAATTATTCACCTTACAAAAAAGCTGATGTAAAGTTAATATACAGTGTTTAATAATATCTTTCAGTATAATGTGATATTTTAGAACAATTAACAAAATTTCTTATTCCAATATTAAGTATGCATTTAATCCAATTGAATCTAACTTCACATAGAGCTCTGTAAGTAACTTTTACAAACAGCGAACGTTCTTAAGGTAATCACAATTCAATGTAGTTCACATTGAAAAATCCGTATGAGCAACTACTTAGTGAAAGAATAGTAAATTCCTTCGGAATCATGATTAGTGTAACATCTAAAGTTTGAATGTACATTCAGAGTAAAATGAGTAAAGTAACATTCCAAGATTTTCATTTTACCTGAAAAGCAAACATTGATACGAAAAAGGAGAAGACTCGTGTAAGAGTTAAATACAGAAGTTGAGTACGATATAAAGCAAGTTTGAAACCTCACCATGTTGTTACTGTCCATGTCGCCACGACCAGTCATGTCCTATCTGACGACTGTGCATATTCACAGTAGCTCTGCAGCATAGTTTTCATTGCAAATGACTCCGTCATGAGGCTCTTATGTCCAAAACACACCACTCATCACCGCTGCTTTCTATAATTTATCTAGTGTAGGAGGACAACGATTTACCTGTGTCTATTTCAACAGTTCAATCACTGAGAAATCAATTGCCATTGCATCCAGCGATTTAACTTGTATGTTTTTGTATGGAAAAGTATGAATATTTTTTTATTCTACTGCTACTTGAGGTAGGCGACGGTTGAACGAATATGATCTGGAAACAACTTGTGTGCAAGTGGCTAGTTTTCCTTTTCCAGATGGAGACCCTTCTTCGTTATATTTCGTACTGTTGTCTGGATCACGTGGATGACTTTTTGATTTTTGCAACTGAATTCAGTGTTCATGGATTTTCACCTTTTACAAGACGTCGCACTTTGCTTTTCACGGCTAAAGTACGGTTTGTTGCAAGCCTCTCTCTGGATGGTCCTGGTGCTCCAAGTTGATCCATGTTCTTTTGTTTTTCCATATCATTAAATACAAGAGACATCCCCGTCTTGAAAATTTTAAATCCTTGATCTGAACATATCTTTATCATCTGAATATATTAATATTTTGAGTCGGAAAAGGTTTTTACATACCCTTCCCAAAATTAATCAGTTTTTGATGGCATCATACTATCTACAAAATGCCTAAAAAAATTTAAAATGTAGTTCCCATATATGGCGTTCGACCTTAACTTATACTGGCTTTGTTTTTCACGTGACCAACTGATTTGCATATTCAAGATGGTTTAAACTTAACGTACTCAATCCTTTCCATAATATATCGAAATACCTTATTGAAACATGCAGGACAATTACGATAACCAGAAAATCCTGTGAAGATGTATCCGACCGAAATTATTGGTTAATTTTGCCATTTTGAAATACACTTCGCCACGTAACGTTCAAAACTGTTGATTTTCATGTACTATAGCTAGTAATGGAAGATATGAAGCACATGTATACTATTATTGTACTATAGCTAGTAATGGAAGATAGGAAGCACATGTATACTATTATTGTACTATAGCTAGTAATGGAAGATAGGAAGCACATGTATACTATTATTGTACTATAGCTAGTAATGATAGGAAGCACATGTATACTATTATTCCCATTTAGTCTTCTTTCACTTACTTGACCTTCATGCTTAGTTTTTCATCCTTTAACAAATCGTGTATCTGAAGCAAGTATTTGCATACATATATATATATATATATATATATCAGTAACATATTTGTGCTAAATGTGCTTACCTCTGTACCAAGTGATGACAGGGGAAGGCGTGCCTTTTACTTGACAGTGTAGAACAAGCTTGTCTCCTTCAACCAGGATATGAGACTTATGGAACTCTTCAGTGAACTCTGTACGAGCTGAGAAAAAGTTTTACAGTGCAGTTTAAAATACTAAAGTGTTCAGAGTTCATAAAAAATACAGCAACTTTTAAAGATATAAATGAAAAGAGTCTCATTTGCAGTTAAAATATTATCTTTTTTGTATTATGAGGAAATGTTAATTGATATCATAAACTCCCAGAATGCAAAGAGTCAACAACTTATACGTGCTCTTTAGTTAAAAGAACAATGACTTTATACGTAATCCTGACAACAAAATTCCGAGAACCGTTAATCGAATTGTATAGAATTACACACCTGCCTTGTCACAAAATTGAAGAATTTAAACTGATAGTTAAATGCATGCTGTTTAAAGGTTTTAGTATGCAAAGCACTTTAAAAAATCACTTGTTTTGAGCACACTATACCTTCCAAAGGTTTACCAACCATGCTGGAAAAAAAAGATGACTTACGTTTCGAAATTTACGCAACACTAATACCACAGTAAAAAAAAAAAAAAAAAACAAAATCATTATAATGTTGTGAAGATTTATAAAATGACAATTAGCAGTAACGGTAATATATATGTAGCAGTATTCATATTGCCATCATCAACAAATAATCAACAATTATGAAGTATAATACGAAGATGAAAAATACCACTCGCTCTTTTCATCACAGAGTTGGTATTCAGATTTACATCATCAGCACATGGTCAACAATCAATATTCAGGATTGTTTGAAAAACATGTGGTCAGCCACCACGAAACATGAACAGGTATAGACTAGAATATCCTTTTTTACACAGTGTAAATTCTGGTTTGTTTTAACAGCACGTGGTCATCCACAATTAAAACATAAACAGATATATATTAAAAGGTACTTTTTTACACAACGTATATTCAGTTTTATTTTAACAACATATGATCAAACACCATCAAACATCAACAGATACATACTGGCAAATATTTTTATATGTTAAATATTCTGGTACACTTTAAAAAGACATGGTCATCCTCTACGAAACGGGAACATATATATACTACTAAAGACTTTTTACACAATGAATATTCAGGTTTAGTTTAAAAACATGTGGTCAACCACCACGAAACATCAACAGATACATACTGGCAAATATTTTTATATGTTAAATATTCTGGTACACTTTAAAACGACATGGTCATCCTCTACGAAACGGGAACATATATATACTACTAAAGACTTTTTACACAATGAATATTCAGGTTTAGTTTAAAAACAACCACCACGAAACATGAAGACATATACATAAATAAGCAAATTTAAGCCATTGCTTACCTTTCACTTTAATAGTGGTATTCAAGCTTTCATCAACAACGCAAGTATATTCTCCTGTGTCGTCATCCTCAGTGTTGTGGATAACCAGGGAATTGGTTTCAGAGATTATGTGCACATTATCCGAAATTATAACAGGATTTCCATTTTTCAGCCTAATGGTAAATCAGATGAATAATGTACATAGCTTTATTCGGTAAAAAACTTCCGGGTTTTTTTTATTTTCAATATGTAAATTGTAAATGCATATATAGCGTTACTGTAACGGTACTTATCGATATCACCTTGAAAACTGATAGCGGTTTGGAATAAGGATTAATTAAGTCTTTCAAGTTCGCAGCCTTGGTCTCTCACTGAATTTGAAATCCACAAGTCTGAGGAATCTATTCAAACATATATTCCTTTTGTGTAAAAGTATGATCTGATATTTAACACTCTTTTGTCTGGACGTATTGCATTACTTTAGATAACAAATTCTGATTAAGCATTATGATATGATCCAATATCTAACACTCTTTTGTCTGGACGTATTGCATTACTTTAGATAACAAATTCTGATTAAGCATTTATAGAACCTTCTTCGAAACAGCCTTTTGGTATAAATTCTGTGTTCTTCTGTTGTTAGCATTATTAAACAATATCAACAATAGACACTCGCTTATCATGTATGTAGTTTTCTTCACCTACGGGAAGAAATTTCAGTTTTTATGTTCTCGTAAGTAAGCTAAATTAAAACAAGTCCAATAGAAATGCAGTAGAAACTTATCTTATTGTCTTTTATCGTTTTTTTTTTTTACTTCAGCTTATGTTGCTAAGGTTAACGGGTTATCTTAAGTTTGTTGTAGATAACAGAAGTATTAGCAGCGTCCCTGCTCCTTAGCCCTGAATTTAATAGCTTGTTGAAGAGATCTATAGTATATAAGTATAGGTTGGTTTCCACTGTTGTTGTGTTTATTCTCTTAGTACCAATTTATTTATTCATAAATTTTATAAAAACATACACATAATCAGTATATACATTCATTATATATAAAACATGCACGGTATATATATACACACTCACGGTATATATACACACACATTCATGGTATATATATACACACACTAACGCTTTATGCACACATTCATGGTATATATATACATACATTCACGATATATATACACACACACATTCATAGTATATATACACACATTTACGGTATATAAGCATATTCACGGTATATATATAAACACAGTCATGGCATATACACATACTCACCGTATATACACACATTCACAGTACATACACACACATTTCTGGTATACACAAACACACACACACAGTCATGGTATATATACATGTTCATGGCATATATACACACACGTTCATGATATATATACATAATAATTAAGTCTTAAATAGAGTAATCAGGAAAAACAGTTCATAATATTGCCAATAGGATGAGAATAATAATTATTCTACGTTATAGTAGTAGCTGAAGCATCTATCTCAATTCCTTATTATCATGTAAATCTCTTGGAGTTGGTGATCTATGTGTTAATGCTACTGCCTGCATATCCACATATTTTAAATAACTATTATTTGTATTACGGTAATTGTCTTGCGATAGTGACCGTTACAGAATCATCTATTGACCTACAAATATATACACTGAGTGGTCACAAGTAAATAGACACCTAATTTTTCGTCATTTAACTGATTTATACTAACTAATTTGTGTTCACAAAGCACTATATAAATGAAAATTGTCCGCACACTAATTATCTTGTGCTACAACATGCCTAGAACTCAAGGTTCTCTCGAATTGTCAGATTTTGTTAGAGGAAGGATAGTTGGTCAAGCAGATGGTGGAATAAGTCAGTGGAAACCCGCTTTCGACAGTCAACAGAATCATCGTGCAGTTCAGGAAACACGGCAGGGAAACAACTGAACAGCCTCCGAGTCATCCTGGTCCATCAGAGAGGACAAAAAAGGGCTGTCAAGAGAAGCATCGAAATGGATCCCAGATTAACGACTGCAGAAGTGGCCAAAGTTGGTGGGATGAGCCCGAAATCTGTTCAACGGATTCTCCACAGATTGGGTTCTCGTTGTAGAGCAGCTAGACGGAAGCCCTTATTAAGACCTGCCAACATAGTCAGACGAAAGAAGTGGGTAAGTGATATGATGACCAAGCCTCTGAACTTTTGGAAGACCGTATTGTTCTCAGACGAATCAAGATTCGCTCAATTTTCGGACAGTGGAAAGATATGGGTCTGGAGAATGCCTCACCAAGAGTTTTGGCTCAACAGATTGCAGCCAACTGTGAAGCATGGTGGTTTCGGCGTGGTGATTTGAGGAGCTGTTTGGGTTGGTGGGAGATCGAGCTTAGTGGAGTGCGTTGGCAACATAAATTTTGCGAAATGCGTTGAAATATTGGAGGAAGGACTCT